AGACCCTTCTTCAGAAATGGGGGAGGGGAAGGGGGTTCTGAAATAAATAGGGAGAGAAGGGGAGGCGGACAGAAGATGGATAAAGGAGAAGATAGGTAGAGAGGAGACAGACAGGTCAAAGAGGCGGGGATGGAGCCAGTAAAGGTGAGTGTAGGTGGGGAGTTAAGGAGGGGATAGGTCGGCCCAGGGAGAATGGCCAGGTCAAGGAGGCGGGATGAGGTTAGTGGGTAGGAGATGGGGGTGGGGCTTGAGTTGGGAGGAATGGTTAGGGAGGCGGGGACGAGCTAGGCTGGTTTTGGGATACAGTCGGGGGAGGGGAGATTTTGAAGCTTGTGAAGTCCACATTGATACCCTTGGGCTGCAGGGTTCCCAAGCGAAATATGAGATGCTGTTCCTGCAGCTTTCGGGTGGCATCATTGTGGCACTGCAGGAGGCCCAGGATGGACATGTCGTCCAAAGTGTGGGAGGGGGAGTTGAAATGGTTCGCAACTGGAAGGGAACTGTGTTTGTTTGTTGCGAACTGAGCGTAGGTGTTCTGCAAAGCGGTCCCCAAGCCTCCGCTTGGTTTCCCTGATGTAGAGGAGGACACAACGGGAACAGCAGATACAGTATACCACATTAGCAGATGTGCAGGTGAACATCTGTTTGATGTGGAAGGTCTTCTCAGGGCCTGGGATGGGGGTGATGGGGGAGGTGTAGGGGCAGGTGTAGCACTTGCTCCAGTTGCAGGGAAAAGTGAGGGAGGTGGTGGGGCTGGAGGGAAGTGTGGAGCGGACAAGGGAGTAACAGAGGGAGTGGTCCCTCCAGAAAGCAGATAAGGGTGGGGAGGGAAAAATGTCTTTGGTGGTGGGGTTGGATTGCAGATGGCGGAAGTGTCAGAGGATGATGCGTTGGATTCGGAGGTTGGTGGGGTGGTACGTGAGGACGAGGGGGATTCTGTTTTGGTTGTTATTGCGGGTAGGGGGTGTGAGGGATTAGTTGCGGGAAATGCGAGAGACACGGTCGAGGGCATTTTCGACCACTGTGGAGGGGAAGTTGCGGTCCTTGAAAAACGAGGACATCTGGGATGTCCGGGAGTGGAATGCTTCATCTTGGGAGCAGATGCAGCAGAGGCGAAGGAATTGGGAATAGGGGATGGCCTTTTTGCAGGAAGGTGGGTGAGAAGAGGTGTATTCTAGGTAGCTGTGGGAGTCCTGCAATGAAATTAACATCCTTTCATAGGTATACATTTGGATATTCCAAAGTTAATTGCTGGAAGTTAACTGCTAGGCCTTGTATGAAATCTTTGTATCCTCTTTAGTCACAGGAGAAGTCCCAGAGACTGGAGAATAGCCAATGTTATTCCTTCATTTAAGAATGGCATCAGGGATAATCTGGGAAATTACAGGCCAGTGAGCCTTTTGTCAGTAGTTGGGAAATTATTGCAGAAGATTCTTAGGGACAGGATTTACTCACATTTGGAATATTTATGGATTTATTAGCAACAGATAGCATGGCTTTGTGAGGGAAAGTTTGTGTCTCACAAACTTAATTGAGCTATTTGAGGAAGTGACAAAGATGATTGAGGGCAGGGAGTAGATATTGTCTACATGGACTTAGCAAGGCCTTTGACAAGGTCCCTCATTGCAAGTTGATACAGAAAGTGAAGTCACATGGGATCCATGGTGAGTTGGTAAGATGGATCCAGAATTGGCTTGGTCATTGAATACAGATTTAGTAGTTTCAGACTTGACACCTCTGGCCAGTCGTATTCTGCAGGGATCAGTGCTGGGACTCTTGTAGTTTTCAATATATGTAAATGACTTGTAGGAGAATCTAGTTGGTCTGACTAGTAAGCTTGTGCTAAGACCACACCTGGAGGTGTGGGGGAGCTGTGACTGGTGAGGAGGATTACCAGAAGATACAGCAGGATATAGATAGGCTGGAGACTTGGGCAGAGAACTGGCAGATAGAATTTGATCAGGACAAAGGCAAGGTGATGCATTTTGGAAAATCTAATGCAGGAGGGATGTATGCAATAAATGGCAGAACTCTTAGAAGCACTAACATACAGAAGGATTTGGCACACAAGTCCACAGTTCCCTGAAAGTGGATAAAGCAGTCAATAAAGCATATGGCATGCTTGCGTTCATCAGTTGGGGCATAAAGTATAAAAATGGGCAAGTCATATTGCAGCTATAATGAACTTTGGTTAGGCCTCATTTGGAATATTGTGTACTGGTCATTACACCATGAGAAGGATGTGAAGGCTTTGGAGAGATTACAGAAACCGTTAACCAGGATGTTGCCTGGTATGGAGGGTATTAGCTATAGGAGAGATTGGTTTATTTTTGCTTGAATGTTGGAGGCAGAGAGTGACCTGATAGAAGTTTACAAACTTATGAGAGGCATGGATAGAATGGATAGTCAGAGTTTTTTCCCCAGGGTAGAAATGTCAATTACTCCGCTGAGGCAGAGCGGGGTTATAAAGTATGTGGAAAACGTTTTCCAAAACAAGGTTTAAGGTGAGGGGGACAAAATTTTAAAAGGACCTGAGGGGTAGCTTTTTCACACAGAGGGTGGTGCGTGTATGGCATGAGCTGCCAGAGGAAGCGGTGGAGGCGGGTACAATTACAACATTTAAAAGACATCTGGATGGACACGTGATTAGGAAGGGTTTAGAAGGATATAGGCCAAATTCTGTCAAATGGAACTAGGTTAGATCCAGTTTTTAAGGAAACACTGCAGAAGGAAATAACTATTAGAGCAAGTTGAATTAAATGTAATGACATATTATCAAAACCAGGCTCATTAGAAATTGCAAGTCCCACATTAGTGATCTAGAGTTAAACAAAGGTAATTACATAGACAGGAGGACCGATCTGGCCCTGGTGGACTGGGCAGGAAGACTGGAATGTAGGACAGTGATGAGCAAATGTTTCAGGCAAATGTCGGATGTTAATGTCTGGGAATATGGGGTGCGTGGGGACAGTGCCTGGTTTCCAGTATAAGGGCCATTCAGAGCAAGTGGGGAGCTAAATCCACTGGATTTCTTTGTCAAGATTTCCTGGAATCCAGCTTTTTGGCGAGATTAGCAAGATGGGAGTGTGAATATTATTAAATTGACTTATGGTATTAAAAAGACATTTAACAATCAACAATGACTGTCAATTGGCATCTTGATGCTTCCTAGCATGAAATTTGCCAGGTTGCTTGTGAACAATATAAAAGATGAAGCCAGAGGATCTCGTTGCCCTTGTCACCTGATTCTTCCACATATCTCACCATCGGTCATGTCACTCAGACTTCCCAAGGTCTCTTTTCTATCTCTGTCTCTCTGCAATAAAATTTTTAATAAAATCACGGGAGATAGTCATTCTCTTCCACCAATTACTGTAAGCTGTTACCTTTAGCCAGTGACAGAAAGACTTCACAATTAGTCTGCTAACTACCTCGGCAAAGCATTTAAAGAATCTGAAACTAAAAGGAGATTAGAGAACAGAAGGTCTTAGGAAGCCTTATTGAATCCTGTGCACTGGTGCAATTGAACTGTGTTTCCCTAGTACTCTTTCTCATGAGCTGTAACAATCTTACATCCCAAATCATCTACGTTTGTTTTTCTTTGTATGTCTCTATATGTGTGTATGCTGAAGTGAGGCAGAGAAGGGTTATACGGTATTTCCATATGTTTTGAATCAAGGAAGTTAACCAGCAAAGATGGAGCAGGTAGTGCGAATTTCAGCTAGTAGAGTTATATGTTGATAATTTGTATTTTTGTTTGCCTTTGTTTAGAATTGATTTATTTGGAATAAATAGTAGCTTCCTGTTAAATACAGAAACTTGGTCAGTGCTTTCTGTTAACCTGAGTCCTGGATAAATCAGGGACTTTGAGCAATTTGATTTGATCTTTAAATTTTGTGGTGACCACGGGAGTAGTGGACATTGAGTATCAGAGCACTTTCCCGAGTGGGTTATGACATTAGGCAATGATGTCTCATCAGGAATAGATGAGAATGTGAAATCTGAATAACGTAATCTATGATCTTTCTGAATGATGGAGCAGGCTTGAAGGACTGAATGGCCTACTTCTACTCCGACTTTGTATAATCCTTTATTCATAAAGAGAAGCTATTAAAACCTACGCATGGAGCAGCTTCTGAAGCAGCCAATGCTTATATGTATCAAAACCTGGACAGCGTTCAGGCTTAGGTTGATAAAGTACAAGTAATATTCACACATTCAGGGGAACAAAATCATTTTCTGTTTTAAGGGCGCTTCTTGGGATTTCTGGAGGCCTACGTTTTGACACCTGGTGGCTAGGTTTTTGTTTCCAGGAGTTTCTTTTTCATTGTTATATACTTTGTTTATTTTGAGATACAGTGTATCATGTTGATATCTGGGGTATTTGGACTCACACAGAATAATTCATCAGTATCTTCATAATCAACCCTCCAGTAAATTTAAAACTACAACACCCAAGGAAAGCATTGTTTTCCTAGATGCTGCAGTACTTAAATTGGCACAAGGCCATAAGTTGGCAAGTTTATTTTTGCAAAGTAATCGGCTCACTGTTCTACACACAAACATCCGTCACCCCATCCATAACTTCCAGAAGCCATAAGTAACAATTTGCCATTGCATAATTCACAAAGGAGGAAAATATTAATCCAGTAAGTTGCATTTTTATTTATTGCATCTCAGATCTCAATCTCAAATTTAAATTTAATAATTGACACAACAATCATTACAATAATTTACATGCATTTTTCCCATACAGTAGCTCCTGAAAACATGCAGCCACAGGGTAGAAATTCTACATTGATATTCAAGCAATTCATTATCTTGGCAATTTCAAATTTTACTGGCTTTGACTTGGCTAGTTGTTCATTTGATGATGGGTTCAAACCTATTCTCTCTTCTCTGCGATCTGTTTTGCCCCCAGTGTTTCAGCCTCCTTGCCTCTTCCTTTCCTTCTAGCCTTGATTTCTCTCTCCTATCCTCCTTACTGCCTCTCTCTTTAGTCCGTATCTACCTCCATCCTTACTTGGAACTTCCTTTTTCCCTCCAACGCTGCCCCCAGACTCTGCTAATGGCCACCTTGGCAAAAGAGCATCTGCTGGCCTCGCAAAAAGGTGGAAGGCTCTCGGCTGACTTTGGTAGAAAGCTGGCTCTGGTCTCCACAGAAAGTTCACTTGGTTTTGTCATAAGGCACCTGTATGATTCCTCCAGCCTCAGAGAAAAGGCAGCAGGCTCCCAGACATCTATCTCAGCAAGCCCCTGCTTCCGTCTCACTCTCAATACTGAATCATATAGCTTTTGCCAGCTCCTCCAGTCTGCCATTACACACTACCTAACGTCAGCCATTGACAGTCTCCATTAACAGCTATTCTCCCTCCTAGCCAGATCGTTATCCACTCCTTTGTCTGTCCAGCTGTTCTTCTCTCTCTTTGGGCTCTATCCCCACCTATCGTTGACTCCTGACCACATCCACCCACCCTATCTTCTGCAGATAAGCTGATGTTTTCCTGGCTACCATCAGTTCTGAGGAAGGGTAACCAACATTAACTCTGATTTCTCTTCACAAATGCTGCCAGACCTGCTGAGCATTTCCAGCAAATTCGGCTCTTGACAGGAATGCTCAGATTCAAAGAATGAATATAAACAATATACCCACTTTGATTCTCTAAGCCTTAACAAACTTGTCTGAAATAATATATACATTTTAAATATTTGCAGCTGAGATTGACAATGTTTTGAGGGAGACTGTTCCAGATTTCTATTCCTCTCTGGGTGTATTACTGTTTACTGATGTCAACACAGAATGGTCTAGCTCTAATATTAAGACTATGTCCCCAGTTGGGACACCACATCAGAGAAAACAGTTTCCCTCGAATTACTTCCAACTCCTTTAGTCACCCAAGACATTGCAGTTACTTCATCCTTTCATTTTGCGTTATCAAGGGAATACAACAGTGGTTCTCAAACTTTTGCATCTTATGTATCATTATTTTGTCAAAAAATCTTAGTCCCACCAAGATAAAAGCAAAACCCCAATTTGTCCAAGGAGTGTATTTTTATGTTGGTATGCATTTTATTATTATATTAACCATTAACAGAAATTTCCAAGAACATTAAAAATTAAAATGATTTTGTTGAGAACAAGTTTTATTGCTGATGTGTAAAATACACAATGAGAATTATTAATAGCACCCATGCTGTAACCACATGACACACACACCGTCCCCTTACCCCACCATAATCATGTGACACACACACTGTAACCATGTGACAGACAGAGTGTAAGTGTTGTGTATTGTACGTTGCACCGATGTCAAATCTTATCTGAACAGGAAGGAGTGATGCATTATGGGTAATTAATGACCAGGACCCAAAGAGAAAATTCCGGAACATCACTGAGAGAGAGAAAGAGAGAGAGATTGTGTGTGTGAGTGAGAAAGAGTGTATGTGCGTGTGCGTGAGAGAGAGAGAGAGAGTGTGTGTGTGTGTGCCTGTGTGTGTGTGTGTGTGTGTGACAGAGAGAGACAGTGTGTGTGAGAGAGAGAGAGAATGTGTGAGAGAGAATGAGGGAGAGTGAGAGTGTGTGTGTGAGAGAAAGAGTGTGTGAGAGACAGAAGGAGAGAGAGACAGAGTGTGTAAGAGAGAATAAGACAGAGTGTGTGCGTAAGAGAGAGTGAGTGACAGAGAGAGATAGGAATTGGGATGTCATGTTACTGCTGTACAGATCATCGGTTAGGCCACTTTTAGAAGAGTGCGTACAATTCTGGTCTCCTTGCTATAAGAAGGATGCTATAAACCTGAGAGGCTTCAGAAAAGATTTACAAGGATGTTGCTGGGGTTGGAGTCTTTGAGCTACAGGGCAAGGCTGAATAGGCTGGGGCTATTTTTCTGGAGCTTTGGAAGCTGAGGAGTGACCTAAGAGAGGTTTATAAAATCATGAGGGACATGGATAGTGGGAGTGGCCAAGGTCTTTTTTCCAGGATGGGGAGTCCAAAACTAGAGGGCATAGGTTTAAGGTGAGAGGGGAAAGATTTAAAGAGGACTGGAGGGGTAACTTTTTCACGCAGAGGGTGTTGAGTGTATGAAACGAGCTGCCAGAGGAAGTGGTAGCGGCTGGTACAATTACAACATTTAAAAGGCATCTGGATGGGTTCATGAACAGGAAGGGTTTAGAGAGATATGGACCAAATGCCTACAAATGGGACTAGATCAGTTTAGGCTTTCTGGTTGGTGCGAATGAGTTGGATTGAAGAATCTGTTTCCATGCTACATGGCTCTATGACTGTATAAAGAATTGGAGCCTGGGCTACTTACACGTCCCTGGCCCTCATCTAGAAACAACTCCATCACACCCTCAGTGATAAGGCTCACAGTACTCCAACATCTCTGTTCCTGTGCCCCCAAGCCCTCCTCATTTCCCCTGAATACCTCTGCAACCATTTAATTACCCCATTTGTTACCCTCCAATCAGTGTTTACCGGCCCTCAGAGTTTGTGTTTCTTTGTGATTATAGGTTAATAACTTACAGAGATCTGAAGTAAGATTGACTGGTCTCTACTTATTTGGCTTAAACCTGCCTCTTTTTTGATGTTTTATTTCAAACCTCTAGTTTTATTTTCCAGTGTATTTTGTGAAATCATACTTACTCTCCAGTGAAAACTAACATCGCCCACTCATTTCTTGATATTCAATTTATTTAATTCTTTTGTTACAGATTTCCAATGCAGAACAGGCTGATTGTATATTAATGCACAGTGACGTTTCAGTATGGATGAACAAGTCATGAAAAAAATATTCTCCACTTTTCCATACATCATTCCCACTTTATATTGCTGCTAATGACTCTGATGCTGCTAATTCTGAATTTATATCATATAACGGTATGTGGAATGGAGTCATGAGCAACTTTTGAGTAAATTAATCATTTTTCCAAGGTTCAAAATAGGATTGTTTAAAAATAGGATGGTTTATCTCTCACGGATCACATGTTTTAGATGCCAATATGATTGTTTCATTTGTTTTCTCGTTAATCCAGAGCTGAGGCTTTTTCCCATGTTAGGTCCTGCTGGGGTATATATTTTTGTTACATAATGAAAATGTTCTAGATCTTTGGCCACACTCTCTTTGGCCACTTGCTCGGAGGTGCCCAACATTCATCTGGTGAGGATATATTGTTTTATCCCTCTCCTCTGCTTCTCAGCACCCGCTACAGGTAGCTATTACAGCCTCAGTGACTCACGGCCCATTGTGGTCTGAACAGAAGTGGTGTCCCCATACTGACTGATAAAATATCAGTAAGAAGAATCTGTTTCAATTCATCGTCCCTGGTGATCTTTCGTGCTACAATAAAAAAAGTGATCAAATCTTTTTCATTCATTCATGGGATATGGTTGTCGATGACAAAGCCAATATTTTTTATTTATTCTTTCCTTTAATTTATTGATTTGTGGGTTGTGGGCATCACTGGCTGGCCAACATTTATTGCTGTCCCAGGTTGCCCTTGAGAAGATGGTGGTGAGCTGCCTTCTTGAACTGCTGCAATCCACCTTCCTTGGGTTGACCCACAATGCCATGAGGGAGGGAATTCCAGGATTTTGACACAGCAACAGTCAAGGAATGGTGATTTATTTCCAAGCCAGGATGGTTGGAGGGAAACTTGAAGGTGGTAATGTTCCCATATATCTGCTGCCCTTGTCCTTCTGGATGGAAATGTTTGTGGGTTTGGAAGGTGCTGTCTGAGGATCTTTGGTGAATTTCTGCAGTGCATCTTGTAGATAGTACACACTGCTGCTACTGAGCGTTGGTAGTGGAGGGAGTGGATACGTGTGGATGTAGTGCCAATCAAGCGGGCTGCTTTGTCCTGGATGGTGTTAAGCGTCTTGAGTGTTGTTGGAGCTGCACTCATTCAGACAAGTGGGGAGTAGTCCATCACACTCCTATTCCATCACTCTCTTATCCGATACACTATTTTCCATCCATAATTGCCCTTGAGAAAGCAGTGATAGTCCACATTCTTGAATGAGCTGCTGCAGTCTATTTGGTGCAGATGTACCTTAAGTAGCATGTCCGGTGGGGCATCTCAGTTCATTCAGAAAGGTGTGTGACTTTGAGGAGAACCTGGAGATAGTAGTGTTCCCATGCAACCAGTTCAATTCATGGTGGTTGAGGTTGGGTGTTTGGAGGGAGAGGTTGAATAGGCCTTGGTGAATTGGTGCAGTGCATCTTGTAGATGTACATATAGCAGCCAGATGTGGCAGAGATGGCAGGATTGAATGTTGAAGGTGCTGGGTGGGCTTCTGCTTGAGCAGGCCGCTTTGTCCTGGAGACTTACTCTGAGATTTGCACCGTATTTCTCATTTGTACCTTGGAGGTGGGGTCAGGCTTTGGGGATTCAGATGGAGAATTACACTCCACAGAATCTTAACATAATGCAGTTAAAATTTAGGTGTTGTTTCTGGCTTTCTCTTTTTTTTAGAGAAGATGCAATCAGAAAGACAGAGGTACTTTGAAACAAAGAACTAATGCTGTGCCAAGAGGTCAAACTTCACAAATCCTCAGTCCTCCAGTCTGTGTTTAGTTTCAGGAAAATCAAGCTGCTACAATTTCACTCGTGGCAAAGTTCTTGGTTCTTATTAAACATGTCCGACTGAAATTGCTTGACATTGATAAGGATGCTTACAGAATTGTAGAATCCTTAAAGCGCAGAAAGAGACCATTCAGCCCGATGGGTCTGCAGCCCCCCTCCGAAGAGCATCCCAGCAGACCCAGGGCCACACCCTGTCTCTGTAATCCTGCATTTCCCATGGCTAATCCATCTACCTTGCACATGTTTGGACTGTGGGAAAAACTGAAGCATCCAGCAGAAACCCATGCAGGCAGAGGGAGGACATGCAAACTCCACACAGACAGTCAGCCAAGGCTGAGATTGAACCAAGTTCTTTGGCACTGTGAGGCAGCAGTGCTAACCACTGAGCCACCATCCGAACATGAAACTGCTGAACTAATTAAAACTGTCAAGATTATGAATAGAGTTATCGAAAATAATTATGCTGGCGTGCACAGTTTGGTAGGTAGTTGTGATATTGAGTTCTTAGATCAAGAGTACTTAACTGTTACCTCATCTGAAGGACAACATTGTAATGAAGCCCAGCTCTGTTCCTAATCTCAAGCTTCATGTGTTCTTCAAATGTGAGTCATTGGACAGTGCTCAGGATTGGGAATACAGACTGATTGCACATTTTCCTCTCACAATCTCAGCAATGCTGAGGCTAACTCTGCACAGATTGGGAATTAAACTGGGAACTTTCCTGGTCTGGTCACCTTCAGGAGGGTTTCACTGAGCAGTCTGGGAGTAGGTTTATCCTGGATTGTTCCCTCTGCTGATCTGAGCTGCAGTCTGAGAATATAACTTACTTAATGCTTGCTGTTTTGTTGAAATACATAACTCATTAATTGTGATGCTGCAATTCCAAAGAATCCTGTGATCTGAACTGAATTTGCGAAATTCTTATTTGACTGATGGAGGGTGTTTGCTAGGAACTAACATGTGTGACATGGTAGTGGAAAAGCTATTCATTAATTTTCTTTTTCTTTCATAGTATGATAAACTTCAGGTTATTGGATCTGATTCCAAATGGAGGAGTTTAATCACACCATAGGGCAGAAAGTGGAAACCAGGAATCTCCATTGGACTGACAGGCTGGTGCAATATGGCTATCAGAATCACAGCTTCACCCCTGAAGAAAGGTCAGAGGGAACGTTCCTTATGAAAATGATCGAATGGCCAAAACCACCCAACTCTTCTGTGCCCTTTCAGAAAAGCAGCAAACCAGCCTGTGTTGGCTTTGTAATTTTAAATTCTGCAAAGACTTTCTATGTGGGAGATCAGTTACAAGTGATGCTGCAGATGTATGATTTTGAAGGTCACCCAAAGCGATATGGAGGTGACTATCTCCAAGCTCGGATCCACAGCCCAGCTTTAAAAGCTCGTTCAGCAGGAACGGTTATAGACAACGAAAATGGATTTTACTATATCAATTTTAATTTATCTTGGCCAGGGAAAGTTGAAGTTTTTGTTTTATTAGTTCATCCCAGTGAAGGGATCCAAGCACTTGAAAGACTACGTGAGGAATGGCCGGAAAGAGTGTATTTAAAAAGTACCTTCAAATATCATGGTGCTGCCTCTGAGATCAGTGTGTGTAATCTTTGTTTGTCTCAATCTCAACCACTCTGTAACTTTACTGATCCCAGGACTGGGGAGCCCTGGTTCTGTTACAAACCAAAGAAGCTTCCCTGCTATGCTCGTATCAACTATTTTAAAGGAGGTTATGAGAAAAATCTCTTAATTGGAGAAGAGAGCCGTTATTTCCAAAGGTGTGTCAATTAAGGTTCTTTTATTTATATTTGTTTTCCCAAATTTCTTTCTGACTCAGATTATAGTGAAGACACCAAGTATAGAGCCAGACTTCCCAACGCTAGAAAATCATTTAAAAAGTTGAACATGAGATACTTTCTGGAGCATAACAATATTTACAACCTTTGTTGGTGCATTGATTTGGAGCTGTCATTAATTTAAGGAAGTTCAGATGCATGTTCACTGTAACAAAATTAAAAATTGAATAAGTTATCATAGACTATCCTCTGAGAAAGTTAAGACATTCCCAGTTATGGTGTTATCAGTGGCCTTAAAATTGGTTGACATCTCAGACTCAGCATGTTAATTGTCTATGATACATCCATGGGATGTTGGCTTTTCTGTCACATCCAACATTTATTGCCCATCCCTAATTACACTTATGTCTTTAGGGAAGAAGTTCTAAGATTTTGACTCAGTGATGATGAGGGAATAGGGATATAGTTCCAATTCAGAATTGTATATGACTTGAATTTGTATCTGGTGAAGTTCAAATGAACCATTGTCTTTCTAAATGTGATGTGGAGGTGCCGGTGTTGAACTGGGGTGGACGAAGTCAGAAGTCACACGACATCAGGTTACAGTCCAATAGGTTTATTTGAAATCAGAAGCTTTCAGTATGGTTCAGAGATAGTAGGAGCTGCAGATGCTGGAGAATCTGAGATAACAAGGTGTAGAGCTGGATGAACACAGCAGGCCAAGCAGCATCAGAAGAGCAGGAAGGATGGTGTTCCGGGCCTAGACCCTTCTTCTGCTCCTTTGTGAGGTGAAGTGGAGAGAAGCACACAAGCACACAGTTTATAGGCGGAGAGATAATTGCAAGATAATCGCACATAATAAAGAGTGTCAAAAAATAGTACAAATATTGTGTGTAGAGTGACGACAGGCTGAATAACAAGTCTTTGCAGGTGACCAAAAGTATCAAATGGTGTGCATAAAGTGTCAACAGCTGAATATCAAGTGAAGGGATGACCAATGACCTGATTAATTAAGGCAGAGAGATAATTCCAAAAAATCAAAAATAAGATGGCGCTAGAGATGAACTAAATGACTGGAATTGCATGATGAGGGTCTAACCAAAGTAACAAGTAATCCAAAACTGTACAAACTAATTAAGATAGAGAGATCATAACAAGTTACCAAGGTGATGGTGTCAAAACAGGACAGAAAGGAAGATTTTACAGATACAGAACAGTGTGGTGGGGTCACATGTGGCCTGACACGAACCCAAGACCCCGGTTGAGGCTGTCATCATGGGTATGGAACTTGGCTATCAGTTTTTGCTCAGCAATTCTGTGTTGTTGTGCATCTCGAAGGCTGCCTTGGAGAATGCTTACCCAAAGATCGGGGCTGAATGTCCTTGACCGCTGAAGTGTTCCCCAACTGGGAGGGAACACTACTGTATGGCGATTGTTGTGTCATGTCGTTGTTGTGTCATCCGTTATTGTAGTGTTTGCATGGTCTCGCCAATATACCATGCCTCAGAGCATCCTTTCCTGTAGTGTATGAGGCAGACAACGTTTGCCAAGTCACATGAGTATCTGCCGTGTACATGGTGGGTGGTGTTCCCTCAAGTAATGGTAGTGTCCATGTTGATGATCTGACATGTCTTGCAGAGGTTGCTGTGGTGGGTTTGGGTGGTATTGTGGCCGCTGTTCTCCAGAAGGCTGGGTAGTTTGCTGCAAACGATGGTCTGTTTGAAGTTCAGAATTTGTTTGAAGGCAAGAAATAGAGGCGTGGGGATGGCTTTGGCAAAATGTTTGTCATCATCAATGACATGTTGAAGGCTACGAAGAACATGGCATAGTTTTTCCCTTCCGGGGAAGTGCTGGATGACGAAGAGTACTCTATTGGTTGAGTCCCGTGGCTGTCTTCTGAGGAGGTCGTTGCAGTTTTTTGCTGTGGCATACCAGATCTGGCAATTGATGAGTTGAGCATTGTATCCCATTCTTATGAGGGAGTCTTTCAGCGTTTGTAGATTCCGTCACGTGCTTCTTCCTCTGGATGAAGATCTGATTGTCGAAGGTGAAGACGTTGTGGTCGAGGATGAAGTGGATGAGATGTAGGATGGCGTCTGGAAATTGGCAGTTGTTGGTATTGAGTACTGAGGCTGATGCTGTCGTCATGGAGGATGCTGATGTAGAGTGCTAAAATATCCATTGTGATGAGGAATGCTCCTGGTTCAAGTGGTCTGTGGGTGCTGAGTTTCTGTAAAAGTCTGTAGTATTTCAACAGAAGCTTGGGGGTTCTTTGTACAATGGGTTTCAGGATGCCCTCGACATAGCCAGAGAGGTTCTCCAACAGGATCCCTGTTGCCTGATATGATGGGATGTCCGGGTGTGTTTGCTTTGTGTATTTTTGGAAGGCAGTAGAAGTCTCCTATGCGAGAAGTACGTGGGATGACAGCGCATGGGATACTCTGATGGTCTGGATCAAAGGTCTTGATTGGTCTGTTGAGTTGACGGGTGTGTTCTTTGGTCAGATCGGCAGGGAATTGTCTGTAGTGTTCCCGGTGTTCAGTTGTCGGGATGCTTCTTTGCAGTATTCTGTATGATGATGGCTCCTCCTTTGTTTGCTGGTTTGATGACAATGCTGTGGTCGATCTAGAGAGCACGGATGGCATTGCTTTGTGCTTGTATGACATTCTGCACTATCTTGTGAGCGCAGACGATCAATATATACAATTGTCTCAGACACGTTACTGGTAACATAAATGTTAAAATGTTGTAATGCCACCACCAAGCTCAAGGTTTCCTTCTCATTCATGGAATAGTTCAATAGATGACCATTCAATTTTCTGGAAAAATACCTGGTAGGTCTTTCTATCTTCTTGTTGTCTTCTTGTAAGAGTACATCACTGACGCCCACATCAATAGCCACCTTGAATAGCTTTGTGTAATTAGGTGTGCCTAACACTGGGGCAGTGGTTAACAAATGCCTTCTGACAGTCCACCATTCACTAAAATTTTCTGTACTTCTTCATTAAGTCAGTCAGTGGGTCAACCACACTACTAAAATCCAGTATAAAAACTCCTGATAAAACCCACTCAATCTCAGGAATCATAGTACTGCTGTCTTCGTTGATGGTATGGGAAACTCCCCAATAACCTTTGTGTTCACATCCCATGGGGCCATCTGTCTGTGTCCGATAACTGGCCCGGGAATGTGACTCGTGCTTTTGAGAATTCCCTCTTAGTCAGGGTGATCACCAAGCCTGTCTGCCGAAGTCGATTGAACCATTCCAATAAATGTTGCAAATGTTCCTTCCATGTGTAATTAAAAATCACCAGGTCATCGATGTGCACCACATAATTGGTTAATCCAGAAATGACCTTATTGGTTAGTCTTTGAAATGTGGCTGGCACATTTTTCATACCAAATGGCATGACTTTAAATTGATATTGTCCCTACAGTGTCACGAAAGCTGAAATTGTCTTCACTCTTTCAGATAAAGGAACCTGCCAGTATCCTCTGAGTAAATCCAACGTGAAAATATAAGTTGCTTGTCCCACCTTTTCAATACAGTCTTCCAAATGTGGAATAGGATATGAATCAGACTTTGTAACTGCATTCACTTTGCGGTAGTCCACACATAATCATTGGGTACCGTCTGGTTTTGGCATCATTATAACCCTATCGCAGGTAATCTCCAGTCACTGCAACTCACTTTGATTATGCTGTCTGTGGGTATGCATTCAATCTCTTTTTGAATTTGTGCCAACTGTAGAGGGTTAAGTCTATAAGGATGTTGCTTAATTGGAACAGCATTTCCTGTATCTATATCATGTGTCATTAGATTAGTATTTCCCAGCTTACTCCCACTTATCTTCCCATGCGATAGCCATAACTCTTTCAGGTCATTTCAATTTTCCTCTGCAAGGTAAGTCTATAATTTATCCCAATTTTTCAGAACTTCCTTATTGTCCGGTTTAATTTTAGGAATGTCCAGTTCAGAATCTTCTTGACTTGGTTCTTCACTCTGTGTTGTAACCAGTAACACATTCACCTTTTTCTTTCCTTCCCTATCAAAATACCTTCTGAGCATGTTCACATAACACATACGATGAGATTTCTTTCTATCTGGCATTCTTATCAAATAATTCACCTCATTCAATCTCCTTTCGATTTGATAAGGCCCACTAAACCTTACTTTTAAAAGTTCACCTACCACTGGAAGTAACACTAACACGTTATCTCTATTAGCAAACTTGCGAATTTTGATTTCTTGTCTATTTCCTGTTTCATCAAATGCTGTGCTACTTTTAAATGCTGTCTAGCTAACTCACCTGGTCTATTTAATCTTTGCCTAAAATTTGATACATTGTCCAAATATGTGGTCCCTGAACTCTGACTCACCAACTTCTCCTGAATTAATTTCAGTGGTCCTCTCATCTCATGCCCAAAAATGAATTCAAATGGACTGAATTTGGTCGATTCATTTGGTGCATCCCTAACTGCAAAAAGTACAAACAGAATTCCTTTAACCCAATTGTGTGGATAGTGACTATATGCTTTCAGCACAGTCTTTAAAGTTTGATGCTACTGTTCTAATGTTCTGTGCAATTCTGGATGGTACACCGTGGATTTGAATTGTTTTACTCCTAAGCTAACCTTAACCTCCCTGAATAATTTTGATGCAAAATTTGACCCTTGATCTGATTGTATCTCTGTGGATAGTCCGTATCTAGTGAAAAATTTGAGTAACTCTTCTACAATCCTTTTAACTGTGATATTGTGTAATAGATTGGCCTTTGGAAATCAAGTGGACACATCCCTTCTTGTCAGCAAATACTTTTTGTTTTAGGTAGCGTTCCTATGCAATCAATTAAGATTCTTGTAAAAGATTCCTCAAATGCAGGAATGAGTATTAAAGATGCTAGTTTTATTGCTGCCTGAGGTTTTCCAATTATCTGACACGTTTGACATGTCTGGCAAAATTCTACTACATCCTTATGCAGTC